TTTCTAAAATGATAAAACGATAAATATATTACTAATTTGTATTAATCTTACAGTTATAGCTTTAGACTTAAAAGTCAAAAGAAATTTTAGATCATTAGCCTCCACTCAGCGCCCATCTATTCCTATCTTGCAAATATTATTCCGAGTCTTTCAAGTCTAAATCACGTTACCTTGTCAAATACAGTAAGATTGTCGATTATCCGTACTTTCAATTAACCAGGCTCACTCTTCCGAAAATTTATAAGTAACAAAAGTAAAGGCATAGGCGCATAAGCAGTATACTGAACTTTGGTCAAGAATGATAAATAATAATGATAAAATTAATAATGTGTAGTTATATTAAAGTCAGACAAACATTTAAACATTTTATAATAGGAAAATCATTTCAAACCACAAAAAATAAAGACTGTTTACATCATATTTCAAGCCCAAACTTTATAACATGGACACATGGTATTATATACACATATGCATATTTTAATTTAAGTTTCGATTAACCGTGGTTTTCATTTATCCATGTGACCCCTCCCCACCATTACCTCAGATAATAGAGTTTTTTCTATAATAATGTATTCTACTTGTATCTCTGACCACTGTAGCGTCGCAAGTTACTACGGAATCACACGCCTGCCATCTATCGAATAGCCGTGACGTCTTGTGTAGTCGTATGAGAACTATGTGATGTAACAGCCTCGTGTGATACTTACAATTAATATAAAAAAACAAAAATGAAATCAAGTTGTATTCGTAACAACGTGAAAATACCATACGTGTGATTGTTTTGCCTGAGAGTTTTTAATATCATAATATATTATAAATACTGAAACACATCCAGAACTAGGTCAAAGTATTGAAGGGCCCTACTAATATATAAGTGAGATCAACGCCGTGTATATGGTAAGTGGGTTACGTTGTCGTCATTACCAACGTGCAGGTCTAACACGAATTTGTGCAAATATTGTAGTTTTTACAGTTAGGTACACCATAAACGAATGTCACAAATGAGTGAATTGGATAAATGGTGTTTATAACGTGAACTCGTGAGTATTTAATGTAAGGAATGTAATCCGAAATATATTGTATAGTGACGTCAACCTCTTTATTGATTAAAATTAGTTACTAATTAGTAATTACATACTAGATACTATAGTTACATAAGAACCTAATTTTTTCACGGAAATTAACTATTTGTTTTGTTAACACAAATACCATCAAGAGGTATAAATGATAATATTAGTTCACCCAAATATAATACAACAGGTACTTACAAAGATACTTATCTTTGACATTATAAATTTTTAGACATTTATTGGCTAAAATTATATATATTATAATAATCTTATGTACCTATTTAATTATTTTAGACAGATACAGTGGATAATTAGAATTTTTATATAGATATGAATATTTTCATATTTCATAAACACGATTTAATAAAGATTATTAGTTATAATATTATCTATTATTTTTCATCTATGATTTTAGTCTTGTATATACCTATTAATCTAAAATACTTCCACAAAAATAGGTACAATTTTTTTTTTTTTTTATAACTAATTTAATTTATTAAGTAATGAAATATTTATTATTTTACAAAAAATAATAATAAACCACTATAAAGTTTAATTTTTATTATAATTGGGGACATGTTTACTATGTAGATACATAAAGTAATATAATTTTGAACGCAACGATAAAATCGTATTCGAGTTTTACATTATAGCATTACATTAGGTAGTTACGTTTACTCTTTATTGTTCAACTTATCTACGACGCATACAAACTTACAAATTATTCTAACCTATACGCAAAATAAATTGTACATAATAGGATTCATATGTTATACTAAAATATACATAGAGACATGAATCTTTTTAATTTGTGAATTTATTATAGATCAATGTACTACCCATTATTAAATTTGTTTGATAACTACATAATATAATAATAGTCTATTATCTATCTCTATATTATTACCCATATGATCTCTAGTGGATTATAAATAATATTAGTATGTCAAAATTAAACTACAATAATTATCAAAGATCAAATGTGAAATTACAGAAATTATTGTTATAATAAATAGATTAAATTAAATTATTATTATGCACTTAAAAACTAACTTGCTCCACATTCTTATGTGTATTAATAGTGCAATTGATAAAATACAAAATTAATTAAATCTAATATTTTGATTATTTACAAATATAAAATTGTATTAAAATTGTTTCAAGGATTTTCTACATTAAGAAAATTGATTATTTCATTCTTCCACTAAATTACTAAAAGCACATGACAATTGACAGTAGAAGGTCGATAAAATATTGACCAATAAAATAACACGTAATTGTCAGACATCATGACTACCTCCACCTAAACTAGTGCGTGGTATACTACTATTGGCAAGTGGCTACTGTAAAAAAAATTATTTAAAACAATTGATTAATGTTTAGAAAGTTAAATTATATTACTCTTATATCTAAATATTTTATTAATATCTCGCCATATTATACATTTACCTATATGGCTTATATGACTATAAACAAATACAATATTTAAATTTGTAGGTATACAAGTCAGTATTTCTTCGAGTATTATGTTTTTTTATTAGAACTGTATTGCAATTAAATATTTAAACACATTAAAAAAAGTACTAACATTAAAATTTTATTACGTTTTGTAACATATTTTTGTTTATGTACGCGTATTTATGAGGAATTAACTCGTGTATACAGAAATTCTCACTAACTTGTTAAAAAAATGCTTCTTAATACGTAATATTGTTTCTCAATTCTCTGTATATTTCTTATTCTAATTTTTTTTTTTTTTTTTTTAAATTTAACTATTGCCATTAATTTTAAAACAAAATTATATTATCTAATATAAAGTAAAATAACATTATTTACATAATAATAATACAAACAAATATAATCAATATAATATTTTTTTATAAAATAATCAAAATATGTTTACATATACTTGCAAATATAATTAACACTCATAAATGTTATCATGGTAAACTGATTTAAGTATTTTTATGTAATATATTTAAAGCTCATTCACATAAAAAAAAAATAAAAAAATAAATATTTTTAGATTTTATAGATTATATACATATTACATGATAATATTATAGGTAAATACTGATTTTTAGTTATTTTTAAATGTCAACCAATTTCAAATTATTTTATAAATATAAAGTATACACCATAAATCTAATAATCAATATACAAATAATAAATAAAAAAAGAGATTAAACAAGACTATGTGTAGGATGAATTATGTAAATAAAATATTTAGCTTATCGAGTAGTTTCCTCACATAAAAACTATTTATAATAATTAATAATATTAAATATGAAAATATTATAATAAGCAAAATATATTTATAAAAACAATGGGCTGTACTCATAAGCATGCGCAGATTTTGGTGACTAATAAAACATGCAACCAAAATTATAAAAATTTTGAAATGAATTCTTAAACTACATGCTTTAATAACAGTTATGATAACCATTTTTATTATCACCGATTTGTATTACCTAAAAAATAAAAATGTTTTCAATATATTTTTCACGTTAAAAAATATAAAAACTTTTCTATTGGAAAGGATATAATTTCATAATTATTGTCATTTGTCACATAATTAAGCCATGAATGTAAATCATACCTATAAATTTGGTTATTATTTTTTTTCTAAAAAGTGTTAATCTAGAATTTTATTCATATTATTATGTACTCTAAAAATTTATTTTCCCTCCAGTCCACACAGGATATATATGGCTGTACTGCTAGTGTTTTTTTAAATATGAAAGCATTGTTTACATTTTACTATCATTTAATTGATACTTCAACATTTAGTGCAAATCACAATTACTTTTGCATTTTTTAATAACAGATCTTTTTTTTTCTAGTCCTTATGGTGAAACGCACCTAGATTAAAAATCTAACCCATATTTAAATTTACCTAAAACTCATAAATGGTTTTTAAAAATAGTAGCACTGAGCAGATGTAATAAAATTTTTAGTATTAATAAATTATATGTATGTATATTATCAAAATATAATTTATTGTTTATACAAATATTAAAGAAGGTATATTTATTTTAATATTTTATACAAGAATTTATTGTATTATGTATACCTTTATGAAAAATACAATGATTATTTATAGATTTTTTATTTAATATATATAAATAAAAATGTAACAAAACAAAATTAATAAATAGTCCATGCAGTGTATTAAATTTTAAAACAAAAAACTTTTTAATAAACTAATAATAATAACAAAAAACTTGTAATTGTACACTTTTAGTTGGTTAATTAGATACTTTTATAATAATTAACTCGATAACAGGCACAATATGATGTAGATGAAATAACAAATATGTAGAAAATGTTTGTACTTTAACATTATGTTTTTGAGAAATTATTCATAGAGCAAACCTATATTCTTTTGATATGTAAATTACCTCATTAAATCAAAAGCTAAATGTTTTTTTTTAAATCTTAAAAATATAGAAATTGAAATAATAAGCTAGTATAATTAAACTCATTGCATGTATCCAATCGTTTAATACGACTTTCCCGATATCGGTGACCCCAAAATCACTGACCCCAAACTGTTATAAATAGGTTTCGAACTTTATAACATCGCACATAATATATACATATATGTATATAAGTGTCCAAACTATCCTGAAGACGTATATTTCACGCATCATCCACATTATTCTATTGTATACAATTGATAATCGATATAGTATATATATGTCGACCGTAATATATAAATATAATATTTTAGATTTTATTATGCCTATTGCCTATAAATCAAATAAAAATTGTATATTTAGATTAAAATAATAAAACGAACAATGTAATATGATAAAAGTAATAACAGTTCAAAGCAATGTTATTGCGTTCGTGGCTCCTATTATCTCTAACTCCTAGCGTTTCGCAATTTAAACTCGTAATAAAGTACTTTCATGTGCACAACTCATTTGAATCTAATTTCGCAAAAAACTATAATAATAATAACAAGCTGAAACGACAAAAAAAATACCGAGGATGTCATGATAATTTAGCGAAAAGTACGACAGTACAAACATAAATGGATCGTGTCACTTCGACCTGTTTTCCGTTTATCGTACATAATAAATAGCTCTGATGGTTTTTGGTTATAGAATTCGGTGCCAGGCGGAGCACAATTCGTCGTTAAAAGTTCAATTGCAATACTCCGGTAACCCACTCGATCGTCAGTTCTAGTTTTTGACAAGGGCGTGCATACTAACACAACAGACAACAGTGTACAGGTAAAAGATAATAAATTCTTCAATAAAACATAATACTATATTTTTATCTCAAATTTATTTAAAGTTTAAATATTAATTTTACTATGATATATTGAAATTTAAAAATATTTTTTTTCTCATAAGATTAAATATTATAATAAAATTATTTGCCTATTCACATTTTTTAGAATTTAGATAACAAAAGTCAGAATTTACTAATAACTATTAAATTATTATAAAACTATAGATTTAATGCAAAATCGAAATTTTAATTAAGTAAGTATTATGTTAATATTTAATGATTTAACTTATATAACACTAATATATTAATTTTTTAAATTTTGTTAGAATTAAAATTAAAATGACAATAATGTATTTAAATAAAAAACGTGCACGTTAAAAATGCTATTTAAATACCTAAGAAAAATAAAATGTATTAAAAATTAAAATAATAATTTATTTGAAAAATATAATCAAAAATATTATAATATATAATATATAATATTATATTTGCATGATGTCCAAAAACAGTAAGTTATACCCTGTAACTCCTTATGTTGCATTTAACAACATATTATATTATCCTTGTGTGAAAATATGTCGTTTCCGTAACCGCTGAACCATAAACTCAGTTTTCGAGGTTAAACAATAATTACTTTACCCACCTATTCAATAAGAGCCAATATACTTGTTGATGTTTACTATAAGTTGTGTAATAAAAAATGTCAAAACAATTTTTTTTTTATTGAATTTAATTGACTGCACCCAAAAAGACACAAAATTATATAAATCTTTGGTGAGTATACATGAAGGTACGTTTTGAAATGTTTTAGTCATATTCTTGGCATCACTGTGAACTATTGTGATAGACTATCCGTCTTAAACGTTTCATCTTCATAATTATATATGCGTGATATGTCTAATGACAACACAATGCCTGATAACGAATGTCATCGTTGCTCTGCTGGAAAAAAAGAATCCGTAACACGCACGTGTGATGAACAGAAAGAAGTGAGTTCGTTAAATTATAATATTATTTAGCTGTTTCACGTATGGTAAAAAAATATTAAGGTAGGTATTGTTCTAATACATTTTTATTTATTTTATTCTAGATTCTCTCGAAAGTTGTTGATGATTATTATCCTTGGGGAAAACCTGGTCATGGTGCTCCCAACGACGATGGTCTTCGAAAAAGGAAAATATTTGCAGATCCTCCATCTCCTCCTTGGAAGGTAGTCGATAATTCGTATCTTTTTAATTTGATTTTATAATAATAGTATAATATAATAATTATCAACTAAAAAATCATATTGGTATTTGGTATTATAGTCTGTTAGCATAAAATATTATAAAGCATAAAAATAAATTGTTGTTTACGGATAATGAGATAATATAATTTAATATAATTTAATCTATAATATGCTAAAACAATGGTACCTGTTTATCACATATACATATTAATATATTATGTTTAAACATAAAATTAGAAATTAACATCGATTTTTATTAAAACTATACTATTTAATTATATTACATAATATACATAATACATTAAATATACCTATATTTGTTTAATGAAAATTTGCTTAAAAATGTTTTAAAAAAAAATCGTTTAGGTAAGACTTTTTTTTCTTTTTAACATAATATATTATGAATTTTAATATAAGATAATATCAATATTCAATATTATGCGGGTAAGACATTTTTAGTGAGAAATTGTAAGTCGATTAAAAAAACATACTTTATTAATAATATATATACATATAATATAACACTGTTTGTGTATTTTATAAAATTAATTTAAAAAAATAATAGACAAACAAGCTGTATTATCTAACGGAACCTTTATACATCATTATATATGCATCGAATATAGGTACTAACATAATTATGTATAATATTAATATTATTATTATTATACAATATATATATATATATATACATCATAGTAAAAAATCGAGAAATGTTTAAAAATAGTACATCGTCATCAAATTTATCTAGACCTAATGCTTATGAAAATTATCTAAGTATAAGTTTAAATTAAATAAATAAAATACCTCGATCTTAAATCATCTACACTGTACAGGTACTCAACTAATATCATAACAAATCATATGCCAATACATTATAATACACTATAAAATATTATTTTATAGCCTAATATTATTCATGGAATATCAGTTTATGTATCACATAAAACACAATGTACAAACTAGGTTCATTCTTTCCGTTGGTAATATATTACGAACCAAATTGTATGTAAAATAATGTTAGATACACTATTTTAATTGGGTGACAACATAATTGGTTCTATTATTAGAATATAAGTACTATTAGTTTTGAAATATAAAAACTAAAACACAGCTATGGATATAGTTTTATTATAATGTTTCTATGATAGAATAAACATAAATATTTAACACAAATGTTCAATATACAATTAACTAAATATCTTGACCGAAATATTATAAAATGTAAAATAATTTGTTAAATTTATCTAATAGTATACCAAAATGATATTTTATAACATGGCTGTATTATTTGCAATCAATATAATGTTATAACTTAAATATTTTTTTGTATTTAGGTTAAGTTAAATAATAAAAAAAATTATTATTTAATAGAATAATATTAATTATTAAGGACGATTTCAGGAAGTTAGTAATGAAGTGACAAAAATGGGAAGGCCAGGAGGTGGTGCACCTCTTAAAACGTCATCAGGAAAAATCAAAAACTTCCGTATTGAAGACCCTCAACTTAGATTTCAATTCCATGCTCCCGATAGAAATATTGTGGACAATGATCTTCGATATAGAATGCCATTGAAAGACCAAAGAGCATATAAGTTAGAATTAGGTGAGAATGTTTAAGTGTATGATATTTTATATAATAATATTAAATAGGTATATTACGAATAATTAAACAATTATTTATAAGTTATTAGTTATGTAAGACAAATAATAAAACTCTGAACATTTTTAAATAGTTAGATATTGAACTAATTGTGTCAGATTATTTGGTAGGTGTTAAAAAAATTATAAAAATAAAATGAACCCTGACATCTAATTCAGATATTGGACTTGTGCACTTGTCTAGCTTCGTTAACTTCGAGTGAAAGCATGTGAAAACATGATGAAAGATGTTTTTTAGTAATAAATTTAAAATCAATGATTACCATCATATTCAAAAAATAATTATGATCAAAACTCAGAGAAGACTTAAAATTTCTTAAAAAAAATCTTGATTACATTTCTGCATAGTATTTGATAGTTTGGTAATTTATTCTTCGTTTTTATTCAATTACTAAGAAATTGAAAAAGACATAGATTTGTGCACTAGAATATATTCTATAACCTAATAAGTGTTCAAAAAACATATTTACGTAATATAAGGTACGGTTTATTCCTAGGAAACTAAAAAATTCAATATTAAAAAGTTAAGCAAATGCGAATACCACTGCTGCAAATTAGATGTCAAATGGCCCTGTAATGGGTGTGTTCAATTTTAATTCATATGCCATTATGTATATTTCATTGTATAAGAAAAAATATTATCAGCAAAAACGATCTATATTACTAGGTTTATTTCATGATATATTTTCTTATATAAATATTTAAATAATTTATTTTACTTTTATATTGCAATAGATTGATTTAATTTTTTTCGAAAACATTTATTAAATTATTATAATACGGTTTATTTATACCATATTAAATTGTTATTGCAATTAAATAATAAATAAATTGTACACTTCTGTAAATACCACAAATCAATATCAACAGGTTCATAACGTAAATATATAATATCTAAAAATTAATCTACATATTTTGAAATATAAATCATGTATAGAAAATTATAATGTAAATATTTTGTAAGAATATTAAGTTTTTACGGTTATTTTAAAGAAATAGACTTTAAATAGTTAAAAGAATTTTAATAAGAACGCCTGAAAAACACTTACCTAGGCAACACAACAATGTGCCGTGGTTATATTACACAAAATTCTGCATCATCTTAATTGTTTATCCTCATTAAATCGCATTGTTTAACTTTAAAAATTAATCTAACCACTAACCAAGTATTCTTAATGTAACTTGTTCAAACAACTTAAAAAAATACTGAATTTTTATTTATAATAGCAGATTCCATAAACCAGCAATTTATAATAAGAATTAATAAATATGTGAATAAATCGTCTCTGCATGACTCTTTACCAATCTATTAAGTATAAATAAGCAAAAGATTCAAATAATTTCAAAATAAATTAATAAATATTTTAAATATTTCAAAATATAATAGATTATTACTTATTAATACGTCTTAAAAATATTTCATATTGCACATCAAAAATGTGTGTATTTTAAAGTTGGTTGTATTTTCATAAAAAGTTCAAGTCATTATTGTCTGAGGTGAAAATAATTAATAAGATATTTTCTCATAGAGAAAATAAAAACAATTAAAATGTAAATGGTATTTTTTTCATGTACATAGGTATAATAGATGTATTCATTTATTAAATTACCTAACAATCGTTTACCATAACAAATTATTGCCATTAAACTATTTATTAATTGCTAAATTAATAATTATATGATTATATAAAATGATAAAACAATCATATAATTTATATATTAGTAGTTAACCACTTTTATGTTCATTTTATTACCAATCTATAAGATTGTATATTCATTGATACTGACTGGCACTTGATTCAATAACTAACACAAAGGTGGAGAAAGAAAAGAGTTAAGTACCGTGTTATGAAATCAATATACCTCTCATTATATCCAGAAAATATATGCATTTCATTTAGGTTTTTAAAAAATAATTTTCTTATCTCTTTATTTCTTGTCACAACAAAATATTTAAAAAATATATATATATTTTTAATATTCTCATAATCATGGGTTTTTTATTTTTATTTTCTTTTTTGAATGACAACTTGTATTTTTAATTTCATATGCTAAATCAGAATATTTTTTAGAGTTTTTCAAATACTATGAATCAAAATTTAGATGAGTAGTTTAATGAGTTCTAATAGTAATTAAAGTGTTGGTGAGTGGAGTGTACTTAGCAAAATATTGGTCAGCTGCTCCGCTTGTCTAAACTTTAAATATTTAGAACTCAGATTTTATGTATTATCGAAAAACTCAGAATATAAAATTAAAAATGTATGTTGTTATTCAAAAAAAAAAAAAACGTAACAAATTGTAGAGATAAAAATTATTAATAAATATATTTAACTTTGAAAAAATGTTGTTTAATTTCATCTGAAAATTATGTAAAAAAATTTACTAAATTTTGAAATAATAAGTATTGTTTAATAAAAAAAATCGTTTCGTATATTATATTCATATAAAAAATGTGAAATTAAAAATTTGACGTAATATTTCTATTATTATCAAAATTATTTGAGGGTAATATTATGCGTTCGGTATACATACGGTGTTTAAAACGTATACCTATTCAAAATGAATGTTAAAATTATGAAAATTTGCGATGATATAAAAATGTATTGGAAACTGACAATTGACACCACTAATTACTCAAAGACTAATTTTACTTCTTCGGATGTTAATTTTAATTTTTCTATTATTGTAAATAAATGTTGTATATTATGAAAGTTTTAGAAATTCATGAAATTAAACAAATCTTTTGGAACACTAAGTCTTTTTGTTGCCGTAAGACATTTATAATGATAAGGTATATTCATAAGATTTAAAGTCGTTTATGTTCCAAAGAAATACATAGGGATATCTTTTTTATTTTTTGAACTTTTCCAGAAGACCAAGCATATTAATTTATAGGAATAATTTAGTATAAAAAAAATCTGTGAAATATTCACATTTTAAGGCATTGTTTTCTATGTTCCGTATATAATAATATACAAGAAAATAATTTTCAGATAGCTTATCATGAAAAAATATATAATTTTACTAAAAATTAATGTATTTTTTTCCTATTTCATATATAATTTTAAGTTTTTAAGTATTTTATTTTATTTATAGTTGAGATAAATTAATGGATCAGAAAATTATTATATTTTATACAATTTATAATTAAATACAAATACTTAATTATTTAAATTTGAAAATAGGTCCACATACATTGTAGTTCATATTTAATACCTATTTTAATATTAATTTTTAACCGAGTACTATTAAATTCAACTCCATGTTTCATTAAAATATAACATTTAAGCCAACCTAACTAGTATTTCACAACAGTTTTGAATTGTGAAGTTGCCGTAAAAATATTACCATGAAAACGTATAATTAAAAACCCCTTATCTATTCTTTCTACAATGTCGGTATATATGTTTTAAATGAATGGCATCTCACAGATACTTATTTTGAATCTATGCCTGTCGCGATATAAGTTAATCATAATAGCATGTTGTGTTCGTAGTGGTGTTGTGATGTATCTATGACGTAATATGTACATTATAATTATTGCTATCACCAGCTCCTTGGGCATAGTACATAATATAATTATCGATAAAAAAATGAATAATAATATTTTCAGATGAAATGGTCAGGGAAAAACAAGAAATAATTGAAGAAAACCGCAGAAAAGAAATCATCCAAGATCAAAAACTGGTAAGCTCCATCATATAGTGTTTATCAAAATATTTCAAACTATTTGTACATGTTAATATTGATCGGGTTAGTTGTAAAATGATTATTAGAATTCGATCGCAGATCCCTGGGGTACGCCATGCCCAGGGGGTGTTATTTGGAGAGATCCAAAAAGTATTGGAAAAAACTTCTTTCGATCGTTGGTAACAATTTTCTGAACATTGATTAACATTATACATTTACCTAAAAACGATAAACTCTATCGTTGCTTAATCAAATTCTTGAGCTTTTTGCTGTAATACTATTTACAAATTATTATTGTTTGATTTTTTTTTTTTACTATTATTATTATTATTAACAGACATTTTAATTCTGTAATAGCTTGAGCTTTATGGCTTGAATAAAACAATATTTTATTACATTTGAACTTGGTTAAAAACAAATATCTAAACCATAATATTTGCATGGTAATTTAGCGTAAATTGCTTACGCATAACTCATAGTAATTATTTGAAATGGTAAAACCATGATATTTTATTTTATTTTTAGGGATATGTGGATGGAAAGATATTTAAATTGGGATCGCATCCAAACGACAATAGAGAAAGCACAGAAGATATTGTAATACTTTTATATATATATATACATGTTACGGGTAAAGTATTCTTTGGAGTTTTATATTACGTCCGGGCGTTATATAAAAATTATTCGTATATTTGGCAATATATATAATATAATGAACAATAATATATTATAATTATATTATAATAAATATTATAGTAAAATATAAAAATAATATTTTTATATTTACATCACTTATTGCTTCAGTGGTATTTTTATGTGCATAGTCGCCTACTCGCTCCGCTGCTTTACACTTACATTTCCGTCTCTTACATTTTTGTTTATACGTATATTAATCATAGCCCTGATCATCCAAATTGGATAATTTCTGTGCTGTCTCTTAGAGTAAAATTTTGGTTTGTGACACATCATCGACTTCCAGAAATCTTTCTTTGAAAATTATAAAGTATATAATATGTCACATATCCGTGGACTATCTATATTAAGAAACCCGATAAGAACAAACAAAATTATTATATTTTCTTATGATATAAATATATATCATTATTCATATAATATTTTAACTATTTATACTTAACTATTAAATATTATATTTTATACATTGGCTAATATACGAATGGCATTGCAAAAAACGCCCAAATTGTATACTTTGCCCGTAACATATATATTATATACATGTTAATAAAACTAGTTTTGTAATAACTACAATAATTATATATATTTGTATATTATAAACCCAGATGTATAATGTCAAACAAATTGTCATTAGTAAATGCATAATATATTAATATATTATTAATGTTTAATACTCTAACTATTAAACTCAGGTAATATGATATATGATAGTAAATGAGAAGACAATATAATTAAAATTGTTTATCTTCTTTTTTATACAATAAATTATTGTTTATGATAAACTTTTAAAATATTAAAGATATTTAATTTAAATATTTTGTAGGAAGCAATTACGGGCGGTGTAGAGTTAGCACCATTACTTGCGTCAAAAAGAAGACAAGACACGAAATGGCCTTTGCACACAAGTGATATAACGAAAATATATGATCCAAAATCAAAGCAAGTTACATTTTTCTATACAAATACTCATCATTTTAAAATGTTACAGATTATTATAGTATTATTATAGTTCTTTTATTTTTTAACTAAATAAATTATCATTATTAATTTGTATTAATTAGTTTTGAGTTAATTATTTGTAATGATATATATGATATTAAAAATATTTATGAAGCTGTATGATTTATTTCAGTTTTTTGATAGATGAAAAAGACTATCACAAGTTTCTCCAAAGACAAATAAGTGGACGTGAACAACGCAAACAGGTAAAAGACACATTAATATATGTACGAGGTAATTAAAATTTAAGCTTTCTTATCTCATTTTTATGTTAAAATTATACATAAAATATTCAAATTCTGATTTTTGAAATTTTAAAGTGTAGTTAAAGAAATATTTTCAAATATTTATATTTTTCACAAAATGTAAGGGGTATTCTTCGGCCATATCAACTTTGATTTTTCAAGCAAGAATTTATGAGTTTTGACACAAATTTTAAACCAAATGATTTTTCTGAAAATGTTGATATGCCTATATTTTATCAAAATTTGAACAAAAAGTTTTTAAATTATTTTACTTTAAAATAAATACTAAAGATAATATTCAATTAAATATTTTATAAATTAATACAAGGTCAGTAATTATAATCAGTTATAAAATATAAAACATTTATCAATGATTATTACTTATTCAATTATCACCTTCTAAAAAATCACTGTAAAAACAATAACAACATTACGATTAACCACATTTACCTAATCGTTAGATATAGAAAGAAATTATCAAGACGTGTAATGTAATCACTTTTTTAAAGTTATTAAGTTAAAAAGAAAATAATTACTCACAACAATAAACTACCAAAGCCATTAGAAATTCTGTTTTTTTGTTAGTTTATTAAAACTTTTTTTGACTATTGTTTAATTCTATGATAATTGTAGCACGAGTACCAAGAAGATATACAAGAAGGACGAAAGCACCATGAAAGTTGGAATGAATTTTGGGGTAAACCGGGTGGTGGAGCACCAAAAGGGACATTGAAACAAAAAGAAAATCTAGAGTATATTCTCTATCAGCTTCCTGTAATCAACAGGTTAAAAGAAAAAGAAGAGAGAGGAAATTGCGGTGATCATAAAAAATCTCCTGAAAAATAAATCAACTCTTAACAGCTCATCTCTTTTATAATCAGCTATAGTTATAGTCGTCCACAGAGGGAATAGCGGTACTTGTAACATTTATGCAATGACTAATGAATAAACGGTTAACTTAGTTCGTAGAATTATGTTCAGAAATTCGATTTTCATTATTTATAAAATTTAATCTTTATTACGCGTGGCCTAATTAAAATTTTGTTCCACAAAATAAAATTATATAGAATCATAATTAATACAATATTTTATTTCACATTGAAACAAAATAATATAATATTAATTGTACAACTATGAGAGTTCTTAGTTTTTTTTCTATTTTCTATTGATAGATCTACTTTTTTTGCGTTGGATAATATTATTTAAAATTATTATTACCTACCATGATAGCCCTTGAATTTTAAATTAAACACGAATAATTTTAATTATGATTATATAACTCTAACTTGAATAAATTAAAAATCTTTCAAAGTACCTACAAGATACTCGTAAACAATTTAACAAATAACTCAAATTTCAAAAAAAAAAGAACATTTAAATTTATGTTTGAAATATTTTTGACCCGCTTTCCACTCTTTTTTTTTATAAAATATGAATTCTACACTAAAATTTATTACATGATTTATAATGATATAAGATCGACCGTTTTAAAAACTTTTTAAATATAAATTTTTGCTTATATTTTCTAATTATTTTAAATGTTTTAATTAAATTGTGTATTATAATTTTAATTATATATAATTATATTATCAAATTTAAAATATGAAATAATATAACACATTCTTGAGTGATCCAAAATAAGTGAATTTTAATAAACGATTCTCAATACTCATAGGCTCTATTTTATATTATTTAAAAGATTAGATCTGTTTATTTAAATTTTCCACAAAATGCTTTTAAAATAACCTTCGTATTTTTTTTATTCATGTTTTTCTTCTTTTTAATAACGCTTGAATTTTTTTTAGGGAAATTAAAAAAAATAATTTTTGAAATACAAAACACTATAGGTTAAATTTCCTATAGAATAATAGGTACAATATGAATTGTGTTCAAGAAAAATGTTTTTCTAATAATAAATTAAATAACAATAATTATTTTAAATAAAGCTTCTGAGCTCTGTTCTATTGATAATACAATAATAACGATGTCAAAAACATATTTATTCGTTTAAGTGTCGATTAAAATTAATGAGCGATATATTTTTAAAACGTTCTTTAACGACTTTTCACTTTAAAAATTCTAAATGCGATATAATTATAGACACAAGCAAGTACCTAATATTTTTTTTCAGATTTCTCTTTTCTTACTCATCGAAAACTTCAATTTTCTTTAAACTTAATTGTTTTATTAAAAAAAAATTATTTGTTATCGTTATAAACTATTTACATAGATTTAATTCAATTTTTATTATTTATTTACAAATACTACTGCTGATTTTATGATAAATTTCATATAATCGTAAATACATACCTAATTCAAATAAAATAATATGTTCGTTTCTATAAATCACTAGTAACTACAACTAAAAAATGACATTTATTCTCGTCAGCATAAAAACTAATAGCATCATAAAATGATTCGTTTAGAATAACCTATGTAACTGTTCATTTAAATGTCATTTGTTATAAAGTTTCGTGTGTCTAAATAAAAACTATCCCAAAACTATCGTCGATTTTCGATTTCAAAATATAAACGTATCTCTAACTAATGGGTACATAATACTTTTGTATAATATGTGTAAAATGTATTATTTTTTGATTATGTACGATCAATATTTGAAAATAACTAATATTAATTTATTTTTAAGATAAAGAATACCAAATAATAATTTTTAATGTATAATGATATTACGTTTTTTTACTAATATATTTGTTATAATATTTAAAATAATATTTATTTCAGTTAATTCACTTAAATAATTTATTATAATAATTATTGTTGTTTACTTATTGATTTTATTTTTGTTATTTATTAATACAATAACTGTATTCATCAATGCTTAATAAAAAATATATATATAACCTATACATATATGTTTATTTAATATACGTATACATGTATAATTGGTCTTTACTCTTTAGTTTTGATTAATTATTGATTCCAGCGAGTTTTAACCAAATTTTTTAGTAATTTTTTAACACTACACTGCAGTCTGTACATTGTGTACTAAACATTTTTAGTTTAATATATTATAAAATTTAAGTATAGTGATCAAGTAAAACTCGTACACATAAGTATACACTTATTGTTACATAAAGTAGTACCTATACGATAAGATCAAAAAATATTACAAATCCTTCCGCAGTTTTTATCATTAGTATAATTTTTTAATTTATTTTGTATGAAAAATGATATCCATATTTTATCAAGTACATTCCATGTGCGCTATTTGCGTTTGCTACTCATCTGTCTCGCTTGTGCATATATACCTATACCTACTCCTCAACGGTTCACTCGTTAATAAAAATAACCGGAAGCATTATACATTTATACTACTATCTAATCATACATCATTTCACGAGGGATTTATTATTATTACTCACATTGTTCATGTTGAGATCATCAATCGCCGTGACCTTAAAAAGTGAAATTTTCGCCCCCCCGGAGACTGATAGTTCTCCACGAGGGGACCGGTTACCGTTACGATTTGCTCATCGTCGTCGTGATATTGTTTTTGAGACTGGCTTAGTCGCTATCCAGAACGTCTACCAACAACATCACCATGATACCACAGGTCAGTAGAATACGTAATATGTATAAATCATAATATTTTTTATTTTAAACATGTATGTTTAGGATTATAGTGTTTTTTTTTTTTAAATTTACTAACAATTTTTAATCAAATAGCAATTATTTTACGTGCTATGTAAATAGATTATTTTCATATTCAAAATTTGATAAATATTTAGGTACGTAAATTATTAATAATTTTACATTATCTACACATCACTCGAATGAAAGTATAATACATTGTCAAAATTTAATTAATTTTAATTACTTTTTAGGCTTTTATTAAAACTTTTTTCTTAAATTTATTTCTAGATAAATATTTCTCAAATACAACGTAGAAATTGAATATGAATAACAATCATTTTACTGAAATTAGTATAGTAGCATTTAAAAAGTTCAATTCACCTACAATACAGCGAGACTGAATAATATTAGCGAAATAATAGTTAATTATTGATGTTATGAATTTAATTATAACAAATTGAATTTCACTTTTTACCGTAGAATTTAAATTGATTATAGAGTACAAAATTAACATTATTGTTTACACAGTTCGTATTCTTGAGCCCTTATTATTTTTGATCGAGTAGAGTAAAGCGGAAATATGAAATAATTACTTGGGTATAAATCGTGTGTATATTATACTTTATTTTCACTTTTTCTAATTTTATAATACATAATATATTACCGATTGTCTTGAAAAATAGTGTGTGAATTAATAACTGAAAATAATTATTTTTGTTATTAAATAAAAATACATAATTCTTAAAATTATATAACTTTTTTGAGCTAATTCTATTATATCTATATATAAATATTAAATACACATAAAACATGAATGTATAATTTTTTTTAAACGTGATTTTAACATATTCAATAATGAAAATTATTATTGATATTTTTCTTGATAATATCACGATTAACTTCTACAGTAATGTTATTATATGTTTTTTTAAAATAGTTTAGGAATCTTAAAATGTTTATTTTTATTTGGAGTGCAAGTTGAGCTTTTATCGTACTTGGTTATCTATTAAATTGTTGTTTAATATAATTTATTACGCTTTTGTCACTATTTTATATAAAATTATTATGTAATTATGTATCCACTGGATAGTAGATACTAAAAAGATAAAACCACCAATTAGATATTTATATCTTTAAAATTTTATTTAATTTTTTTGTAAAAATCTTTTACATAATTAAAAGCAATTACTAAGTATTAATTATTATAACACGACATTAAATAAAAATAAAAATAATGTCTTATAGTTACAATATCTTATAATTGTGATTTTTAAGCTTTTTAATATTTATTTATAAAAACATGCATTTTTAGTTTCACAATTTAAAGCAAAATATTTTTCTAAAAACGCTTTTGCATATAAATTGAACAAATATATTTTTATTAATAAGGATTTTACGTTTATATAAGCGAAATAGTTATCCACATATTATTACGCTGTTATAATCTAAAATTAATATATTGTAATAATTTAAAACATTAATTACTCTATACTCAATATTTCAACACCGACATGTTTATAAAAGTATCTTGCTCCACTAAGTTTTCAAATTTAAAAATTTAGAAAATTTAAATCACGAATTTAAAAATTTTAAATTATTACATATTTTTTTAAATGTATTATAATATGTTATAAGTAGGAGCTTATATAAATGTTGTTCTTAGTATACTTATCTTGGTGTGTGAAAACATATTTCTGAAGAGAACAAAATGTAACCAATATAATGAGTAGTTTACGTTAAAAATCGTACTGTAGATGAGTATAATTCAACACATGCTACTATATATGAAATGTTGTATAACCAGACACAATAAATAATAATTACGTATAAATATATATGTGTGTGTGTATATACCTACATATATTTGCTATTCATAAAGAAATCATTAAACGCGCTAATAGATTATGTCAATATATAGGTAGATAAATCTGTTACGTGGAAACATGTAATATTTTTTGTGAACCAACGTACGATGTTATGTGTAAATACAATATTATTTACAAATCGAGTATAAATCGTCGAAACAATACAATTTTTACTGATCTTTGAACTTTGTGTAATATATTATTACATTTATACGTGCCTGCAATAGTTCGATAACACTCCGACATTTTGAATTATATGTTTTAATACTGTATTAATTATTGTAAACATAATCATAGGTAGGAAGGTAATTTTAGTCAGATAAAATCTTTAACTTTAGTTCACCTGTTAATAATTTGAAAATTCAGCAAACTCTCGTAAAAAAATACGTGCAATTAAATGAGGTGAATAATAACTGACACATTCGGTATTTTGATATAGCGAAGATATCATTGTGTGATTGTTTTTTCGTATTTTGACTACTTTTAATACGACGCAGATTCTCGTTGTTCTGTACTTCATAATATCCTAAAATAATACATAGGAATAAAATCTAAACACATCATCCTTGAGGTCGATTACACGATCGTTTTTCAAATTATATAATAGTTCAAGTATCTATAGTGCACACAATTAACCGCAATAAGTAGTATAAGAACTTAAATATAGTATCTACATTCGTCGCACCCAATATTTATTTATGACTTCTTTTAGTAAACGAGTTTCTCGCATTTAGGCACCTAATATTTTCAATAGGATTATTTATTTTTTTTTAAATCTACAATACCAGTGTGTATGGGATGACAAATGAAAGTACAAGCCTGGAGTATTTATATTAATCATGGTATATAATATTATGTACGTGACAAGTCAAAGATTAATATTTCAGTGAAATTCGAAGTACTTTATATTTTATGTAATTATAGTCGGAAATAATTACTCAAATGACTAGTTAAAATAATATGTACACGATATAGGTACATAAATAATATTTAAATTAGTTAAAAATCTATGTTAAATTCCTATTGATCAATAATTATTACCGTTTAATAATAAAGAAACATCCACTCTGTATAGAAAATGAAAAATGAACCACATTTTATTATTACTTATTACTTAATAGATTATAAAATATAAGTCATTCGTGATCATCAGACCATTTTCTTTTACAAAATACATCTAATTAGTAATTAGTTGTTACCTACATATTTTTGACAAGGATTACATCGTAATAATATAACACTAATAATTAACTTTTATTTTAGATGGATAAAAAACCATACCAAACAATATTGAACTATTATCAAAAATTTAACTACACATAATATTATATACCTTTAAAATATATTAATTAACGTTTATATTATCAATCTTTATAATATGCTTATAATATATTTTATTAATTTACGATTTTTTACAATTCAGTCACTGGTCAATGAACATTTTAGTCACTATGCCAAAAAAATTAATCCAAAATTGTACATTTTTTTTTATCAATATTTATAATTTTCACTATTTTGATCGACTCATCAATTTTAACATTAAGCATAATATTCATGCATTAGAAATTCTATTATTTAAAATTTTATAAAAAGGTTTTTTTTGTTTTTGAGTTGACTCTAGCTTTCAGCAACTTTTTTTATATCAATAAAAATACCCCACGACAACATAGGCCATTGGGAAACATGTTACGTTACATAGTGTGCTTAATTGTAATTATTTAAAATATAAATATTAGCTAACTTACAATTTTTAAGAACGACAAGTCAGGTATGCACATTTTTGTAATTTATAGTTTATTTTAAAGATTCACTTTTTTGATGAAATCGTTAGTGACTTCCCAATTATTATACAATAACCAATAGGTATATAGTTAAAGATTTTATTATCATTTAAATGTACCCAAATATTTTGCTAGGTAAGTAAGTAACACCATAGTAGACATTATTTATGTAAGAATATTAGAAACTTGAATTATACATTTGAAAATAATAAATATCATAAAAAATATTATCAATTTTTATAATTAATAACTAGATAGTTTGCAATAAGAACCTGTTTATTATCGTAAACCCACCAATATGACTAATTATAAACAGATATATGTATATTATGATGCGTAATTTTAGTGTAGGATATGGTTTCTAATATATTTTCTTTCATGTATAATATCCATACTTAATTGCGATAAACTTGTTTCTTTTTCATCAGATATCGCTTCTAACTCCAATCTGGTAACAATGAAACACAGTTTGAAAAATACATCGATAGACTCAAAATAAATGTACAATACAAATTATTCTATAAAGAACTCCGTGTTTCAAAACGATGTACTTAATAATGGATTGTAATTAAAAAACTGAAGCACATGCCAATCAAAGCTTTTATCACACATACATATTGATGGTTATGAGGTCATAACAATAATCAGTCTCGTCCCAAACCCTGACTAACATATCAGATATAACTAAGCCATAACGTCCCTTTCTTGGTTTTCAAGAGTTGTTGATAGAGGTGAAAAACCAGACTCGTCTGATTAACTTAACATCTTATGGATTGCGCTACGACCAAAACCTGCGGAATTATATTTTTTTGAGACTAGGAAAATTTATATAGAATATTCTAAATTCTAAATATATATCGTATATGCATCGTATTTAATAAATACTTTTCTGAAAATATTATTTCATTACAATCATTCAAAGTCTAAAAAGAAAAAACTATATGCGCATCAAGTACTTACTTGGTACAGCTATTGAAATATGAATAGTCGAATAGGGGTTGTGGACTTCGATTAATCATATCTCAACCCTATAGTACCTATAAGTATACTGGAGTGACATGAAAATAATATTGTTGTTCATTTTTTTGAGTAGGCACCTATATTATATAATATGCATGAATTATAATTGTGTATCATATATAAACGAGAAAGGCCGATGAAAGTTCATGAATCGTAGCCAATAACTAACAATGAAAACAATGCGTCTAAAAATACGAGAATAAATTATTGAATATTTTCGATTTAAACGTGTAAAATAAAAAATCACAATCAACCGCAGTTTCGGCACGGTGTCGATGTTCAAAAGACTCGTGTTAGCGATTCCGAACAGTGCA